CCGACGCTACAACAACAACAACAACCGGCAGCAACAACCGAAGCCAGTACCTCCGTTCTGCCACATCTGCAAAACTTCAGGACACCCACGTACGCACTGCCCGAATCGTCAACAGTCAACAACTCCATAGAGGCAACTTCGACTTTCAAGCAGCCAAATGGCCTCAACGCAACCAAATCCCACGACTCAGATTCAAGCTTCAACGACCTTAACACGACAACCTGCACAAGGAGCAAGAAACATCGTCACCTGCATGGCAAAGCTGAGTGACTCCTGCATCACCGAGTCACCACCACACTACTCACCGGAAGAGCAACTCGACAAAACCACACCCCGCCGCGAGTCACTTCAGCCGAACTGGACAAACGCCGCCATCGCCCAAAGCGAACAATTCGGAAGGGACACATGGTTCTTGGACAGCTGCTGCGGACAACACATGTGCTCCTCGGGACGCTTCGTTCAACGAGAACACCAACTTCAACGAGAAGTTGTGATTACTGTTGCCAACAATCAGAACCTGGGAACACGACGACAAGGTGTAGTTCAACTTTAGTCAAGGGAAACAAACGTTGTATTGCAGATGTCAAAAGTATCAATCGCGAAGGGACTCGGCTACAACTTACTGAGCGTCAGTCAGCTAATGGCGAAGGGGATTCACCTCGAAGCAGACAGCACCACCCAAGAATTCAAGCTGTATCACGGGAGAGGAGGACTCTACATCGGCAAGGCGGTCCTCAAGAACAACGTCTTCGTTCTTGATTTCGTTCCTGACCTTGGCACCGCCGACAGCGACGCCATCGTTAACTTCACCAACTGGACACACCCTCCAGACCTTGATCCAGACTTCAGTCCAGAAGGCTTCTGGTATTCACACACCATCCCCGAAGCAGAAAGAATAAGGGCGTTAGCAAGAATTCAGACAACATCAGCAGCACCAAAGACAACATCGGCAGCAGCAGAGACAACATCGGCAGCAGCAAAAACAACATCGGCAGCAACATAGACAACATCGGCAGCATCAGAGACAACATCGGCAGTAGCAGAACCATCAACGACAGTAGCAGGAACGTCAACACCAATTGCAGGACACCGCTCCTCATCGACGACACACCACCGACACCCGCGCAACAACTACACCTAGCACCACGAGAAGTTCGTCGTAGCGCCTGTCAGAATGTTATCTTATGTTCTAGCCTGTAGTGGGGTGCTCTATAGCGAGTACAACCCTTCTAGGGTTTGCTATTTGTATCCTCATTCCTGCTAGTTCAACCCTCATCTTTTTTTCTAATTTTGTCAGCGCCAACTTCACCGCCAACTTCTACTCCAACTCCGATATGTACCAACGATCATCCGGACATCGTGCCGACGAAAGCACCTGGCACGCAAGGATGGGACACCCAAGCAACACAGTATTAAACAATACGATAAGAGCAGGAGTACTCGACAAGGACTCACTCCTACTGACCGACGGACAAGAACTTCAACTAGTACGCGGAACGTGCTTCACCTGCCCTGAAGGTGACTTACCACATCGACCGTTTACGTCTCATCACAACCCTAGCGCACCCGCGTACGCACCACTCGAGAAGGTGTATAGCAACATCCTGTTCAACCGGGAACCAGGACAAGTAACATACAACTACACGATCACCTTCATCGACGCCGCCACCCGTTACGTCTGGCACCTAAGCCTCCCTAGCAGCGACATCGCATTCGCAGCCTTCGTTGCCTGGCTACCAGTACCAGAGAGAGAATCAGGCGTGAAACTGAAAAGCTTCCAGTCCGACGGAAGAGGAGAATACACCTCTCAGTGATTCACGCAGTACGTGATGCAAAGGGGAATCAAGCGGCTCATCTCCCTTCCCTACGCCCATCAGCAGCAAGGCGTAGCAGAAAGAATGAACAGGACCTTGCAGAACAGCTGCGCAAACTGTTACGTGGCATGCGGCTACCCAACCACCAGTGGCCTGCGCCAATGGACCACGCCGTCATGCTGCACAACTTGGTGTCGTCATCATCGCTTCCGAACAACGCATCACCGCATCTGCTATGGACAGGGAAACAGGGCAGCACAAAAATGTTACGAGTATTCGGATGCATGGTACAGTACCGACCCCCAGCAGCACAAGCGGGCCGATTTTCTCAACGAGCTAAGTGGGGACTACACCTGGGAATCGAAAAGAACTACAACGCATGGAAAATCTTTGACGTCGACTCCAAGGAAACAGTAGCATCACGTGACGTAATTTTCTACGAACGACTCACACCCCAGACATACCTTGCTAGCCTGCAAGAAGACGAAGATCCCACAGGTGGTTTTCGTGCTGACAGAGCCTTCGCCTCAGCAGCGGACGAAGCTGACTGGGACGAGCAGAATGTGGACAACGCATCAGAAGAAGCCGAACCTCTTTCGTTCTGCTCCATCAACGTTCCCATGGACGAAGATAGCCCTCGCGAAAGTGTCAACGCCGAAACCTTCTACCATTTCGCCGACAGCGGTTACGTAACACCTGCGACAGTCAACACCAACGAAGCAGAACGAGTAGGACCGAACTTCATACCTGATCCAGAAGCGGGAGATGAAGCAGCTTATCATGAGGACGTAAATCTTCCCCGCTACTCACGGAGTGGACTGCAGATTCTTGGACTCGTCACCGCAGTCCACGGCACCACCACTCCTAAAGAGGCCGCGATGGCTCAACAGGCTCTTGGGGGGGAGCATAAGGAAAAATGGCGCGAAGCCATGGACAAGGAGCTGAAGGCAGTGGAGGAACGCAACACGTGGAAAGTGGTTCCTATCAGCGTGGCACGGAACAAGACAGTGCTCATTGGGAAGTGGGTCTTCCGTGTGAAGACAAAGGCTGGCGGCACCATCGACAAATTTAAGGCACGCTGGGTCGTACGCGGCTTCGACCAAGAGCACGGACACGATTTCACCGAAACATTCGCTCCGGTCAGCCGACACACCTCGCTACGCATCCTTCTCGCGATCGCCGCCATGAAGAAGAAGAAGCTCCGGCAAATCGACGTCGCTAACGCATTCCTCTACGCACCTATTGACGCAGAGATTTTTGTCGAGCTACCACACGACAAGAGCACAAACTCGAATCACGTCTGTCAACTACTCAAGTCGCTCTACAACATTAAGCAAGCTCCACGACCGAGGCAACAATGCCTACACGCTCGCCTCATTCGCATCGGCTTCAAGCGATTGCGGCACGACCATGGCATGTACCGGCTCACGAAGGGTACCAACTAGATCCTGCTAATCGTCTATGTAGACGATCTTCTCTACATCGGCTAAACTGACGGCATTACAACCTGGTTCGAAGGGGAGCTACAACAAGACCTCACACTCACTGTCTCATCTACCGTTACACAGTACCTCGGCCTCAACATCCGGGAAGAGGAAGACGCTATCTACCTCAGCGCCGCAAAATATGCCGACACCATCGTTAAGCGTTTCGCACTCACATCGACTGTCATCTCCACACCGTACCGCTACACGACAGTTAACAACAAGGAAGGCTCCGCTCTACTCAAGCCCGCCGGCATACGCGACTACCAGAGAAAGTTGGGCTGCCTTCTCTTCGCAACTGTCACCTGCTGCCCAGATCTATCCTACTGTGCAAGCCAGCTCGCCACCCACCTCATGAAGCCTGAAGCGGGACATCTGGGGGAGCTCGACCGCGCTCTTCACTACCTTGTCAGTACCCCGACGGTCGGCCTGACTTACCATAAGAGCGCAACTACAACGCCTAAGCTAGTCGGTTACGTCAACGAAGATCACGCGGGCGACTCCGACAACTGACGACCGCGCACCGGCTACATCTACCGCTTCGAGCCTATCGGACCTATCTCCTGGCAATCGAGCAAGCTGGAATTAATTGCTCTCTCGTCACCTGAAGCAGAATACATTGCACTCTCCTCAGCCACCAAGGAAGGACTCTACCTTCGCGAGCTACTCGAAGAAGCGAAGTAAGCCGAGTTACCCAACTTTACCCTGTTCTGCGACAACCAATCGGCAATTCGCATCGCCAACAAGAACGGCTTCGCGAACAGGACGAAACACATCGCCCTGCCATATTTCTTCATGAAGGACGAGATCGAGAAGGGAAGGCTCGAGCTGTCATACTGTCCCACGTCCGAGATGGCAGCTGACTACCTGACCAAGAAGCTCGAAAAGCAGAAGTTCGAATACTGCATGCTGCTGACTAGACAGAGCCACGTCAGCGACGCTCCAGAAGCAAAGGGGAGTGTTGGAAACAATCGGTCCTAAGCGCCTCTGTCGTGTCGAAACACTAAGACACAAGCGAAGCAAAGCATATCGAGGCACCAGCGAGTCAACCCTCGGAGGTTGAAGTAACCGCTGGAGGTTAGGCGAAAGGCAAAGGTCAGCGACCTTTGACCTGACAAGTACAGCGCGACAGCAAGGACACACAACTGACTCGCTACAGAGTGGTTGCCCGAGTCGTCACTGTATCGAACCGCAACAGCAACAGTAAAGAAGTTATAACTGTATCTCTTCGCATTCCTTGTACTCTTATATAATCCTGTACATCCTTGCTTTCATCAACTTACTTTGCCCTCACATACTAGCGCAAGGTGGTTCACAACTCTTTATTAACGCTTCCGCTACTACACCAACTCTACCCAGAGTTCACCCCTGCAAAGATCCTAAGGGCTTTTTCAGCCCAACACACTGACACCACTCAACTGTTAGGGCCTGCTGTTACTTGCTGATGTGAATACCAAGCACACCATTAAGGAGCCTCAGAAATCCTCCTACCACCACAAAAAGTGCACTGATGGTTCTTGCAGCTGTCAATTCATGCTTGTAAAATGAACTCTTGATGGATGGATGGAACATTACAAAAGCATTCACTCTACAGCCTGAAGTAGCTGCACGTATTTACAAGAGCAGCTGCATGCAAGAATGGTGCTTCTGCAATGTTCCCCCACCATCTCTCAATCATCATCCATATCCCTTTTCAACCATATTACAACTTCCCACCAATCACTCTCCCTGAGAGCGCCCCGTCAGCACCGGAGAATCCGAGGAACAGGTCATCATTGGTGATCCCTTGGATCGATGCCAGCACATCCGCCACGTCAGCAGCTGACGCCCTCACGACATTGGCCAGCGACCAGGACACCGGGCTCATGGGCACCCACGTGCCAGGCAGGGCGAGGGCTGCTGAAGCAGCAGCGGTGCCGCAGGCGTTGCCCTTGAAGATGGCCTGCGAGTCCGGGGCCTTGGTCACTCCTGCTGCGTACAGGTAGTATGTGAGCAGATAGTCCGAGCCACTGCATTGGGGGAGGAGGAGGGAAGGTGGAAGGAGATGAGGGAAGGGAACACGGTTTAACATTGAGCCGTCAAGGGCAAACGTGATTCAGCAGGATTCAACAAGGCTCAAGTAATCGATGTAGCAGGATTCATCAAGTCAACGGGTCAACTCGAGCCAACGCGAGTGACTCACATCTTGAGGATCTGAATGTCAGCAGCGCCGGCTTGGAGAGACAGCAGGCCGTTGCATGACGTCAGCACGGCACGCAGCATGCCCGCCTGCTGGGGCAGAAGATTCGCGACTCTGAGAGCTCCGTTGAGAGCGCCGTTGAGAGCGAAATTCAAGGCGTTGAGCATCCCGGCGAGCGCGGACACGTTCCCGTTGAGCCCCGCGACCCGCTGCGTCACAGCTGCCAGCCGCTGCCTCACCGCCGCGCGGATCGCCGCGTTCCGACTCGCGTAAGCCGCTGTGGTGGCTGCACTCGACACGCCCGCCAAGCCTACGCGCGAGCCTGCGCCCGAGCCTACGCCCGAGCCGATTATTCCTGCTAGGTCCTTGTTCAGAGCGGCGATGCCGATGCTGATCGATGAGATGTTGGATTGAAGGCCGGAGATCTGGGAAATCAGATCCGTGAAGTTCAGATTCGACCCTGAGATGTTAAGCGCGTTTAGATTAACGAGGCTGGCGTTTAAAGCGGCGAGGTTGGCTTTCAGCGCGGATATTTGCGCCTGGAGTGCGGCGTCTGCGGAAGCGTTGCTGTTGAGGGCCGCCGAGATCTGATCGAGCGATTTCTTGAGAAGCGCGTCGAGAGACGCGATCTGGCCGTTGAGGGACGACTGGAGGCCCGAGAGCGTCGAGTTGAGCGCCGCTGCGGGGCTGCTGCTGCTCGGTGCTGCGGCTGCCGCGGCGATGGCTGAATTCAAGCCGGGTGGAAGTCGGTTGGTGGGTAGACTGCCGACGCCCGGGAGAAACCGGCCTGCTTCGACTCGTTGTGTTGCCAAAAGCACTGCAAATATTCAAAAAGAGGAGTGATGAGTTTCGGAGCACGAAAGGCAACTGACAACGCTATTACGCAACGGAAACGGCTTGAATGTTCAGTGCTGAAAACCGCGCTTTGCAAACACTCCTGGAGGTGGCTCACCTGTGACGAGGAGAGCAACAAGCCCTAGCGTGAAAGGTGCTGCAGTGCGCGCCATGATTGCCGAGCTAGGACGCGAAATACGCGGAGCTACTAGCAGAAGTGCTAACTGGTGAGCTATCTCGGGAAGTATCACTTTGAAATGTGAGACGAAACGAAAGGCGCAGTGAGCAGCGCGTAATTAGAATTGAGGACGGAGGGAGCAATGTACGTGAGTGTGCTGTTTTGAGAGTATAATTCAATGCAGAGGCTAATTTGAGAGTCGATGCCCTTTCGGATTTCTCCTGCTCGATTTATACATTTCTGATCTGAGACAGTGGTGGTCTGGCCTTTCTGCATGAGGAAGTCGGGTTGGATCTGGAAATTCGGGAATTTCAGCGCGGACCGCGGATTGCGTGTCTCTGATTGGTTTATCCGCTGCCGTCGAGTCGCACACGGGGAGGCTAGAGAGCGGTGCTGCTGCTGCTGAGGCATGGTCGGACGAAGGTGAGAGAAATTCTGTACAGTATGCGGTGCTGTGCTGTGTGGTGTGAATTAGATGGTGAAGAAGGGGCAGAGCCAACCAGCCAACTAGAGCACATCGGCGAAACGCCAACGAAATTCAGTTGACGGGGTTTCGCTTCAAGGTCGAACGCGTTGCCGATGTACAACTACAAGTACAAAAAAACTAAAAGTTCCTTGGGGCCTTCATCAGGGGGAATACGGCACTGCAGCGGCTGTATGCCCTTTCCCCCTCAAACCTACACCATGCTGAGGCCCTTGCGCTAATTTGATGCAGGCTTGAGTGTGATTATAAGGAATCCTGCGGGGTCGAATTTTGCCCCGATCACCTTCCCTTGAACGGCTCGAGGCAGCTCCACACACCGCCTTTGGTCCCCCGCCTCTACCAGCAGCTCTGCCCCGCCCTTCCACTGGCGATGGGTGGGTGGGGGGGTAATGGGGAGAAGGAATTGGGGGAACTTGGCATGCGTATGACACGATAACCTTCCCCTGGAGAATGCCTCAACAACTCCACGCACCGCCACTGGTCCTCAGCCTCTACCAACAGCTCTGCCCCGCCCTTCCACTGGTGATTGTCTGGTGAAGGAGGGGAACGAGGGGAGGAGAGGAGTGAAGGGAGGAAAAGGGGGAAGAATAGGCAATCAGCGGGCATGTCATTGCCAAACCGACTCACCTGCTGCTTCTGAACCTCTTATCTGTCGAATTCCCAAAGCGTTGGTCATTGGGAGTCAACCAAGATGAGGAAGGAAAAGCGCATAAGAGGAGGGCGTATCTTGAACCATGGTGAAAATATGTGTAAGAACCAAACCGACTCACCTGCTGCTTCTGAACCTCTTACTTGTCGAACCCTGAAAGCGTTGGTCATTGAGAGTCCAAGTGCACCAAGATGAGGAAGGAAAAGCGCATAAGAGGAGGGCGTATCTTGAACCATGGTGAAAATATGTGTAAGAGCCAAACCGACTCACCTGTTGCGGCTTGACCTCCGGCTTGCCGAATCCCGGTAGAATGGCATTGAGTGTCAACCAAGAGAAGCAAATAGTATGGATGAACCCTAAAGAAAATATCAATGCCAACCCGACCCAACACCACTCACCTGTTGCAGCTTGACCTCTTGCTTGTCGAATCCCGGCAGAAAAAGACGAACCGTGCACGCCGCCACGTCCACGTCCACCGCCGGAGGAGCCTTCCCCGCGCCTTCCCCGTTCATAACCGTCACTGCTCCATCGCTCATCTGCCCAGCTGCGGCCGCTACAGCCGCCGGTGCCTCCTCTGTCACCACGGGCAGTTGTCCCACGGGCAGCGGAGAAAACTTTTCTGCCAGTCCCCCTTCCCCAGATGCTACCTCCGATGGGAGTAGGAAGACGCCTGAAGGGGACACGCCTGCCTGCACTGCGCAGCCCCAGATGCGGCGACAGGTGTCGACTGATGAGTGGCTCGCCGCATCGGCCAATAGGAAGACGGACGTGCGGTAGGGGTCTGCGAATGCTGAGACGGCTTTCTGAGGGGTTGGGAGGGGCAGGTAGGGTGGGAGAAGGGATGACGGGTGAGCGAGAGGGGCGGACGGAGAGATTAGGGAAACGAGTTGGGGGTTGCGGTTGTGATATGGTTCAAAAAGCTTTCTGATGTGCCAGGCCCCAAGACTCATAGAGAGGAAGGAGTAAACAGTCTCTACATCAGCACTCAGAGAGAGGAAGGAGTCAACAGTCTCTACATCAGCACTTCCACCCCCCCCACCACCACAACCACCACCCCCCTCCCTCCCCCTTCACTACGACCAGCACTCCCAACACAGAGAGTTTTGAAACGCTGCCCGCTCAGACTCAGTGTCAGGAAGAGTCGAGCTTCTCCCATATCCCCGCCGTGCTGCGCTGCCCATCCTCCCCACCACTCCCACCACCCCCATCGCTGCTACTCCCATTGCCCCCTTTGGAGGAGGAGCCGGCTTTGGAGTACAGCAGCGGGGGCCAAGGACGGCACAGTGAAATAAGTGAGATGATGAGATGTCTAAAAAAATCCTCCCGACCACTCCCATCCACCACCCGCATCGCTGCTACTCCCACTGCCTGCTTTGGAGGATTGTGTCAACCCATACGCCAGCTGTGACGGGCGTGTGGCTCCAGCCAGCCAGGGATCTCCTATTGCACCTCTTCTCCTATTGCACCTCTGCTCCTATTGCACCTCTGCTCCTATTGCACCTCTGCTCCTATTGCACCTCTGCTCCTATTGCACCTCTGCTCCTATTGCACCTCTGCTCCTATTGCACCTCTGCTCCTATTGCACCTCTGCTCCTATTGCACCTCTGCTCCTATTGCACCTCTGCTCCTATTGCACCTCTGCTCCTATTGCACCTCTGCTCCTATTGCACCTCTGCTCCTATTGCACCTCTGCTCATATTGCACCTCTGCTCCTATTGCACCTCTGCTCCTATTACACCTCTGCTCCTATTACACCTCTGCCATGTCCCAAGAGAGAGGTGCCGTGCCGTGCCGGTACTCACAGAGAGGAAGGAGTCGAGCTTCTCCCATATCTCCGCCGTGCTGCGCTGCTCGTCGGATGCAACCCCACCGCTCCCGCCGCTCCCACCACTCCCCCCTTTGGAGGAGCCAACAATGGAGTCGAGTAGGCGGGCCACGGAGGGCAGAGAGGAACTTACAGAGAGGAAAGAGTTGAGCTTCTCCCATATCTCCGCTGTGCTGCGCTGCCCATCCTCCCCACTTCCACCAGCATTCCCACCACTCCCACCACTCCCCCCTTTGGAGGAGCCAACAATGGAGTCGAGTAGGCAGGCCACGGAGGGCAGAGCCACACGCCTAATGTCTGTTTGCTCTGCTAAGGCACGGAACCTCCTTAGATACCACCTGGCTCGGATGGGTTGAGTTGGTTTGGGATGGATTGGTGGGACGGTGGTGTTACCACCTGATCTAATCTGGGCCTGTAAACCACATTTCTTCACTGCACATCATCACATTACACCAATTAACACCGCATTACACCGCACTAAACCATGCTTCACCTGGCTTTCTCTGGGCTAGCCAGCATGCGCAGCACCTCCCAAGTAGTGGCCCCGTCAAACACCACCACCTCTGCCTCCCCTTCACCCCACGGGTACCTACTCCCCCACTGCTACTGCTGCTCTACTACCGCTTAAATCCCAGCTAACCACATTGCACCGCACATCACCACATGTCACCACATTCCACCGCACTAAACCACGCCTCACCTGGCTTTCTCTGGGCTGGCCAGCATGCGCAGCACCTCCCAGGTGGTGGCCCCATCAAACACCACCACCTCCGCCTCCCCCTCCCCCCACAGGTACACCCACTCCCCTGCTGCCGCTCCTTTCTTCCCTGCTGACATGGCCCGCGCCCCGGATGACGTGGCAAAGACCAGCAGGCCGCCAGCTGGACGTGCGATGCGCTCGAGGACAGCGACTGCCATGACGGCGTCCATGCCAGGTAGGACAGACTGCTCCGCGCCCACCACCTGGCGCAGGTGTGGGTTTGTGGGTGGTGTGAGATTTAGGCATGTGCGAGGGTGAAGGATGAGGGTAGTGCATGACTGCGACTGCCATGACGGCGTCCATGCCAGGTAGGAACGACAGCTCCTCGCCCACCACCTGGAGGGGTGGAATTCGGTGTCGGGAGTTCATGAGTGTGAGGCTGAGGGATTGTCGGGATGGTTCCTCCCAAGTAGGACTGCGACTGCCATTACCGCGTCCATGCTAGGTAGGACCGACAGCTCCTCGCTCACCGCCTGTTATGGTGATGGCATGGCGATGGCATGGTGATGGCATGGCGATGGCATGGTGATGGCATGGTGATGGCATGGTGATGGCATGGTGATGGCATGGTGATGGCATGGTGATGGGATAGTGATGGCATGGTGATGGGATGGTGATGGCATGGCAAAGATTAGGGGTTTGTGATGCAGGAATGTGGTGCTGGCTGGGGTGGTCATTTCACCAAGACTGCGACTGATGTGACCGCGTGAATGCCAGGCAGCACTGAGAGATCTCCTTTCTAACAACCTGGAGTGGGTATGGGTGAAAAGTTGTGGTTTGTGGTTACGATTGGTTACGATTTTGATTGTGCTCTGGTCGCTCAACCGACTCTGCATCTGCCATGCCTGCGTCTGCGATGTTGAGTTTACTTTTGAGAATTTCCAAAAGTAAACTCAGCACGTCTGCGTCACCGCCTGGCAGCACAGCCAGGCTTATGGACAGCCGGAAGTCTGGAGCTTGCAACTCATGCGTTTTTAGCTGAGTCGATTTTTGAGTCGACTCAAAAACAGAGTTTGCAACTCATTCGTTTGTGGCTGAGGGATGCGGTTTGTTTTTTTGAGTCAACTAAGAATTAGACTTACTACAGGTTGATGGACAGCTGGAAGTCTGGGAGTTCACACTGCCTTCATGCTTCGGACCACTCTCAACATCTAGAATTCCTCTTTCAATTCTGGCGGTTGGATGAAGGAGAGTGGTGCTGGAGTCGACGGTGGTGATTGCAGGGAATGGTGAGCTGGGAGTTCATACTGCCTTCATGCTGCGAACCACACTCAACATCTGATCCTTGTCTCTTGGTCAAGGGGGAAAAGGGGCAAGGGGGAAAGGGGGAAGGGGGAAAGGGGGAAGGCGCGCGGAGGCTGTGACAGGGGGAGGGGAGTGTGGTGGTGGACTGCGGAGGCGGAGTGGTGCTGGAGCTTGGAGTGGTGTTTGCAGGGAATGGGGAGCTGGGCGTTCATATTGCCTTCATGCTGCGAACCACACTCAACATCTGATCCTTGTCTCTTGGTTCAGGGGGGAAAGGGGCCAAGGGGTAAGGGGGGAAGGGGATCTGAGGCTGTGGCAGGGGGAGGGTAGTGTGGTGGTGGACTGCGGAGGCGGAATGGTGCTGGAGCCCGGAGTGGTGATTGCAGGGAATGGGGTGCTTCGGGTAACGCTCAACATCTTGATTATGTTCCACTATTGCGAGGCTGGAGAGGCTGAGCAAGTTGAAGTGGAAGTTGGGAAAGAGGTCTCAAAGGAGGTTCGGAAGGAGGTCTTGAAGGAGGTTTGGAAGGAGGTCTTGAAGAAGATTCGGAAGGAGGTCTGGAAGAAGGTTCCGAAGGAGGTCTAGAAGAAGGTTCGGAAGGAGGTCTGGAAGGAGGTTCAGAAGGATGACTGGATTGCGTGGCGTTAGACGCGGACAAACGAACGACTGTTGGCAACGGCATTGCTGGTGCAGTTGGACCAACATGGCTGGCAGCTCCACTGACCACTAACTGGGGGTTGACCATGGGTTGACCATGGGTTGACCAGGGGTTGACTGGGGTTCTACTCGGGGTTTTAGGGAGGGATGGGAAAGGGGGGAGGGTGGTTGGGGTGGTCACTGCTATTGTCTCAGCGGACTGACTAACAGGCAGACACGGTGTTCTGCCTGGCACGATCTGCTGTAGGAGATGCTGTAGGAGCTCACCTATCCTTGTTGTCCTAATACAACACGAGTTGATGGAAGCGAGGCCTTCGCAGCCCACCTGTCCTCTTTTCGCAGACTAACAGGCAGACACGGTGTTCTGTCTGGCTAGCAGGAATTGCTGTAGGAGCTCTAGGGAAGATGGGCTGACGCAAAGCGACCGCGGTTTGGCTTCTGGCAATCATCAGGAGGTTAGGAAGCGAGTGAAGGATTAGGCTTTTAGCAGTTTTTGGAAGGTGATGTTGGTTTTCAAAAGGGAGGGAAATTAAGGCAGAAACTGTAAGTTAGGAGAGTGGCAGGCTGGGTGCGTGGCTGGAGGGTTATGTATAAGTGGTGAGGGCTTCCGCTCCACTCTGTTGGAAACAATCGGTCCTAAGCGCCTCTGTCGTGTCGAAACAGTAAGGCACAAGCGAAGCAAAGCATATCGAGGCACTAGCGAGTCAACCCTCGGAGGTTGAAGTAACCGCTGGAGGTTACGCGAAAGTCAAAGGTCAGCGACCTTTGACCTGACAAGTACAGCGCGACAGCACAGCAAGGACACACAACTGACTTGCTACAAAGCAGTTGCCCGAGTCGTCATTGTATCGAACCGCAAGAGCAACAGTAAAGAAGTTATAACTGTATCTCTTCGTATTCCTTGTACTCTTATATAATCGTGTATCTCCTTGCTTTAATCAACTTACTTTGCCCTCACATACTAGCGCAAGGTGGTTCACAACTCTTTATTAACGCTTCCGCTACTACACCAACTCTGCCCAGAGTTCACCCCTGCAAAGATCCTAAGGGCTTTTTCAGCCCAACATGGTATGAGAGCAATCAAGGGGAATTCAACTATTATACCGACAAAATCAATCAGCATGGCTACACAAAAGGAAAGGAGCAACTCCAATGGCTCCCAGGGCACTACTCCTACTCCACCTCCCGGCTCTAGCCTACAGACACAGGAGGGCACGGCAACAAGACCCAGAGCAACATCTACTGAGACTCCCACGAATCAACCTTGCAGAACACCTACGCAAATTGTTACGTGGCATGCGACTACCCAACCACCAGTGGCCTGCGGCAATGGACCACGCCGTCATGCTGCACAACTTGCTGTCGTCATCATCGCTTCCGAACAACTCATCACCGCATCTGCTATGGACAGGGAAACAGGGCAGCACAAAAATGTTACGAGTATTCGGATGCATGGTATAGTACCGACCCTCAGCAGCACAAGCGGGCCGATTTTCTCAACGAGCACAGTGGGGACTACACCTGGGAATAAAAAAGAACTACAACGCGTGGAAAATCTTCTACGTCCACTCCAAGAAAAGAGAAGCAGCACGTGACGTAATTTTCTACGAACGACTCACGCTCTGGACATACCTTGCCAACCTGCAAGAAGACGAAAATCCCACAGGTGGTTTTCGTGGTGACCAAGCCTTCGCCTCAGCAGCGGACAAAGCTGACTGGGACGAGCAGAATGTGGACAACGCATCAGAAGAAGCCGGACCTCTTCCGTTCTGCTCCATCAACGTTCCCATGGACGAAGATAACCCTCGCGAAAGTGTCAACGCTGAAACCTTCAACCATTTCGCCGACAGCAGTTACGTAACACCTGCGACAGTCAACACCAACGAAGCAGAATGAGTAGGACCGAACTTCATACATGATCTAGAAGCGGGAGATGAAGCAGCTTATCCTGAGGACGTAAATCTTCCCCGCTACTCACGGAGTGGTCTGCAGATTCTTGGACTCGTCACCGCAGTCCACGGCACCGCCACTTCTAAAGAGCTTGCGACCACTCAACAGGCTCTTCGGGGGGAGCATAAGGAAAAATGGCGCGAAGCCATGGACAAGGAGCTAAAGGTACTGGAGGAGCGCAACACGTGGAAAGTGGTTCCTATCGGCGTGGCATGGAACAAGACAGTGCTCACCGGGAAGTGGGTCTTCCGTGTGAAGACAAAGGCTGACGGCACCATCGACAAATTTAAGGCACGTTGGGTCGTACGCGGCTTCGACCAAGAGCACGGACACGATTTCACCAAAACATTCGCTCCGGTCAGCCGACACACCTCGCTACGCATCCTTCTCGCGATCGCCGCCATGAAGAAGAAGAAGCTGCGGCAAATCGACGTCGCTAACGCATTCCTCTACGCACCTGTTGACGCAAAAATCTTTGTCGAGCTACCACACGGCTCCAGCACGGACTCGAATCACGTCTGTCAACTACTCAAGTCGCTCTACAACATCAAGCAAGCTCCGCGACTATGGCAACAATACCTACACGCTCGCCTCATTCGCATCGGCTTCAAGCAATTGCCGCACGACCAGGGCATGTACCGGCTCACGAAGGGTACCGACTAGACCCTGCTAATCGTCTATGTAGACGATCTGCTCTACATCGGCTCAACTGACGGCATTACAACCTAGTTCGAAGGGGAGCTACAGCAAGACCTCACACTCACGGTCTCATCTACCGTCACACAATACCTCGGCCTCAACATCCGGGAAGAGGAAGACGCTATCTACCTCAGCGCCGCAAAATACGCCGACACCATCGCCAAGCGTTTCGTACTCACACCGACTGTCAACTCCACACCGTACCGCTACACGACAGTTAACAACAAGGAAGGCTCTGCTCTACTCAAGCCCGCCGTCATACGCGACTACCAGAGAAAGCTGGGCTGCCTTCTCTTCGCAGCTCTCACCTGCTGCCCAGATCTATCCTACTCTACAAGCCAGCTCGCCACCCACCTCAAGAAGCCTGAAGCGGAACATTTGGCGGAGCTCGACCGCGCTCTTCACTACCTTGTCAGGGAGAAGAAACGAGAATGACTGCACTAAGGAATAAAAGTGGTACAAATATGCAACCCTAGGAATGTGTACCCCATATGGGCTACCCCACTATAGCCTACACCACATTATAATTTGACACACCCCCATAGGCAAAGTGGGGGAGAACAAGGGGTCTCAAGACCAGTCAAGCAAAGCAAAGCAAAGCTCAGGGTGGATCACAAAGTCACCACACATTCCAAGCACAAGTTCAAGGCCAGAAGGCCCTTTCACAGGCAGGAGTACAAATATATATAAATGGCTAAACAAGCAAGAGCGGGAGTATATATATGTGACAGTACAAGCAAGGTCAAAAAGTGAGCAAGTGAGGCAAGACAGGCACAAGACCAAGCTGAGTACAGAAGTGCTGATGATCACAAGGCGC